AGTTCTTGTTACTAAAAGAAGGAAACCAGTAAAACAATTCTTATAAATTTAATGAATTCGTATCTTATTTGAGTCCTCTTAAATATTTCAGAATATTGAGGTCTGTTGGTCATTGGACATGCCCGCGGTCCTTTCCTCCGCTCGTGGTGCCGGCAGCCAGGGGAAGGGAAGGCCTATTGCACGAATCTCTTCGTGCAACGGGCCTCTAGTATGCATATAAGATCTTTGACTAATCTCTTCCCAACTCCTCTCCCCACTTCCCTATGAGATTCATCAGTTTGTTCCATGTTTCCATGCCTCTGATTCTATTTTTTAGATTCAATTGTTGATAGATATGTATTTATTGCCATTTTATTGTTTGTATTTTTATCTCTTCTTCCTTCCTTCTTTTCTCCTCCTTCTTCTTCTTTCTTCCTTCTTCCTCCTTCCTTTATTCCTTCCTTCTCCACCTCTGTCCTCTCCTCCCTCCCTCCTCCTCCTTCTCTTTCTTTTTCTTCTTCTTCTTAAAGAATACCCTTCAACATTTCATGTAATACTGGTTTGGTGGTGATGAACTCCTTTAGCTTTTCCTTGTCTGTGAAGCTCTTTATCTGACCTTCAAATCTAAATGATAGCTCCACTGGGTAGAGTAATCTTGGTTGTAGGTCCTTGCTATTCATCACTTTGACTATTTCTTGCCACTTCCTTCTGGCCTGCAAAGTTTCTGCTGAAGAATCAGCTGACAGTCACATGGGCACTCCCTTATAAGTAACTAACTGCTTTTCTCTTTTTTTTTTTATTAAATCTTTATTGTTCAGATTACATTTGTTCCTCTTTTTTTCCCCTCCCATAACTCCCCTCCTCCCAGTTCCTGCCCCACCCTCCGCCCTCACTCCCCACCCACTGTCCTCATCCATAGGTGCACGATTTTTGTCCAGTCTCTTCCCGCATCTCCCATTCCCCTTTCCCCCCCAAGAATAGTCAGTCCATTCCCTTTCTATGTCCCTGATTCATTATAATCACCAGTTCATTCTGTACATCAGATTATTTATTCACTTGATTCTTAGATTCACTTGTTGATAGATGCATGTTTGTTGTTCACAATTTGTATCTTTACCTTTTTCTTCTTCCTCCTCTTAAAGGATACCTTTCAGCATTTCATATAATACTGGTTTGGTGGTGATGAACTCCTTTAGCTTTTCCTTATCTGTGAAGCTCTTTATCTGACCTTCAATTCTGAATGATAGCTTTGCTGGATAAAGTAATCTTGGTTGTAGGTTCTTGCTATTCATCACTTTGAATATTTCTTGCCACTCCCTTCTGGCCTGCAAAGTTTCTGTTGAGAAATCAGCTGACAGTCGTATGGGTATTCCCTTGTAGGTAATTGAGTCTCTTTCTCTTGCTGCTTTTAAGATTCTCTCTTTGTCTTTTGCTCTTGGCATTTTAATTATGATATGTCTTGGTGTGGTCCTCTTTGGATTCCTTTTGTTTGGGGTTCTCTGCGCTTCTTGGACCTGTAAGTCCATTTCTTTCACCAGGTGGGGGAAGTTTTCTGCCATTATTTCTTCAAATAGGTTTTCAATATCTTGCTGTCTCTCATCTTCTGGCACCCCAATTATTCTGATGTTTGTACGCTTGAAGCTGTCCCAGAGGCTCCTTACACTATCTTCATATTTTCGGATTCTTTTTTCATTTTGCTTTTCCGGTTGGGTGTTTTTTGCTTCTTCGCATTTCAAATCTTTGACTTGATTCTTGCGCTCCTCTGGTCTGCTATTGGGTGTCTGTATAATATTCTTTATTTCAGTCCGTGTATGCTTAATTTCTAGTTGGTTCTTTATCATAGCATCGAGGGTCTCATTAGTTTTCGTGACTCTCTCCTCAAGTTTATTGACAGCTTCTAGCACATTTTTGCAAGCCCTCAAAATTGCGATTTTTAGCTCTATATCCTCCATTTCTGTCATGTTTTTTTGTCTCCGCATTTTTTATGCTTTCTTGGTGCACCCCCTAGTGGTCTTTGTGCGCAGTCTTGTTCTAGTTGAGCCTTGATTGTTGTAGTTAATACTAGAGGGATTTGACCACCAGGCCGACTGGCTGTGTGAATCAGCTGTGTCTGATTCTGTCCTCTGGGGAGGTGCTAATCTAGCCTTTGCCTGAGGCGATCTGGCAAATGGCTCTGCGCAGGGCTTGGGCGGGGCGGGCTCAACAGGGCGGGCGGAGGGAGCGGTTATGGCCCCTCTCAGTCCCGTTCCCAGAGGCTCTGCTTCTCAGAACCCCAGGAACCGCTGCAAACCTCGGAGGGAAAGCTGCCGTCCAACTGATGCCAGACACTCCCACTTCTCCCGTTTGAGTCCCCAGCGATTCGCCCGTATCTGGAGCTCAGAGTCTGAGACTCCCCCCTGACCGAAAACGACAACCGCGCTCTCAGCCACCAGCCCGCTTTGCGCGCGCACCTCCGCACCTGAGTATTTTCCACACTGCGCCTCCTCTGAGCCTCGGTGTGCTGTTATTTTTCCTTCTAGTTGAAGAGTCTCTCCTCAGCCAGCCTTCCTGTGGTTCTGGGTGATGTCCGTTCCGTCTTTTAGTTGTATTTTTGAAGTGGTTGTTTGCGGCAGCAGTCTCCGGTATTTACCTATGCCGCCATCTTGGTCTCCCCCAAAAAGGATTTTTTTCCCCATCCCCCTTTCCCAGGCTAAGAACCCCTGCGTTAGAGGGTCTGTCCCCTGAGGTCCCAAGCGCCCGTGTCTTGTCCACTTTGGTACCTTCGGGCCATTTTGTTCGGTGCGGCACACGGAGAGTCTCCTTGCTTGTTTGTGGAATTGAAAGGAAAGGAATTGCCTAGATGGCCATCCTCCCAGGTGAGGAAAGTGCTCATTCAAGGCTAAGGCTGGAGTTTTGTTCCCAGACTTCATGTCTGGGAGAGGATTTTCCCTTCTGGCACGCCCATAATGCGAATGTTGGTACACTTAAAGTTGTCCCAGAGGCTCCTTACACTATCTTCATATTTTTGGATTCCTTTTTCTTTTTGCTTTTCTGATTGGGTGTTTTTTGCTTCCTCACATTCCAAATCATCCATTTGATTCTTGGAATCCTCTACTCTATTGGTGAGTCCCTGTATATTATTCTTTATTAGAGGCTTGATGCACGAAGTTGGTGCAAGAGTAGGCCTTCCTTCCCCCGGCTGCCGGCACTAGCTTCCCTCTGGCACCCGGGACCCGGACTTCTCTCCAGCCACCAGCAGGCACCCAGGACCTGGGCTTCCCTCGCAACCCCGGCTTCATCCAGAAGGTCGTCCGAAAGGACATCTGGTCTAATTAGCATATTATGCTTTTATTATTATAGATTTCAGTCAGTGTATGCTTAATTTCTGAAGGTATGTACCCTTGATCGGGAATTGAACCTGTGACCCTTTGGTTGACAGGCCGACACTCTATCCACTGAGCCACACTGGCCGGGCTCCTTGCTATTCTTGAAACACACCAGACACCCTCTGTCCCAGGACTTCTGTGCTTGCTGTTCCCTCTGTTGAAAAGTTCTTCCCTGGTATAATCCTCACACCTCACCCCCTGGTTTACCTCAACTCTTTGTTCAATGTAACTTATGTAAGGCTTTCCTTGATTATTCCATTTAAAACTGCTAATTACCAGCCTTCTCCATCCCCAGCTTCATTTCTCTCGATAGTCTTATCCCCAGCTGACCATGTCGCCTGTTCTAGTCATTATGTTGATGGCCTACCACCCCACCCTGGCCTGTCTGCTCCTCGAGGGGAGGGAGTCTGTCTGCCCTACTCACTGGTGTGTCCTCAGGACTCACACGCAGGCCCGGCACAAATCATCATTTAGTGCCTATTTGTTGAATGAAAGCAGGACCAACCTTAAGAGGCTGGTCCCCAATTTATACATTACAAGGCTGTAAGTGACAGTGTCACTATGCAAGCTGAGGGCTGCATGAGTTTAGGCCGGTGATGGCGAACCTATGACACGCGTGTCAGAGGTGACACGCGAACTCATTTTTTTGATTGATTTTTCTTTTTTAAATGGCATTTAAATATATAAAATAAATATAAAAAATATAAGCCTTTGTTTTACTATGGTTGCAAATATCAAAAAATTTCTATATGTGATATGGCACCAGAGTTAAGTTAGGGTTTTTCAAAATGCTGGCACGCCGAGCTCAAAAGGTTCGCCATCACTGCTCTAGGCTGTTCTTCTACCACTTTGGAGATAGTTTAAGGCGACATGGCAATAATAAATTCCATTTTTATGGTGTGGCAGAGGGCCATTATAGACTACTTTGGAAGAAGTGTAACTAGAATGCAGCTATGATGTAGAAGAGGCTGTATCATGCTTAACAATAAGCACAGACTCAGTAGCTCAGGGATGCCCACTGCGGAAACACCAGGCTGCTCCTTGGGCACTCTCTCTGACTCCTGGGGCCCCAGCCCAGCAAAGCATGGCAGAGACAGCCTCACATCTGCGAAGGGAAGGCAGAGGTTAGGAAGCAGTGGGGGCAGGGTGATAATCTGGCTATGGAGACCAACGACTACGGGGAACCAAGCAACCAAGCAACTTCATTTTCACTTATGAATAAAGGCAGGTTATTAAAAGAGGTTTTCAGGGCTCTGATTCAGCACTGCCATCGGGGAAGTGGGGGCGAAGTGGATAGGAAGAGGAAAGATAATTAAAGAATGTCAGCATATTGCCTGGGCCAGTGTGGCTCAGTTGGTTGGAGTGTTGTTCCATGCCCCAGAAGGTCACAGGTTCGATTCCGGGTTAGGGAACATACCCAGGTTGCAGTTTGACCCCTGGTTGGGGCATGTACAGGAGGCAATGGATCAATGTATCTCTCTCACATCAATGTTTCTCTCCCCCACCCCTTGTCAATTTTTTTAAAAAGGTCAGCATATTAAATGCCAAGGCAAACAGATCGAAAACAAAACACCAAACATCCTTAAGCCCTGCCAGGCTTTGAGTGACACCCCGGAACTGACAAGCGTCACAGCAGGGTGGGGGGAGCACACCTACCCTTCCTCTGTCTCATTGACGATGTCGCAGATCTCCATGTTCAATGTCCAGTCCTCGCTTTGCAGGGAGCCATCTGTGGCCTTTTCTGTAAAGTCAGAGAGAAAGCTGGTTTACATTTCTCCTGAACGAGGGGCTCTGGCAGGAACCAGAACCACCACATTCTCCCAAACAGATGGTCTGAGTCAACAGAGCAGTTCTAGAGTTCTGTTTTCACAAGAGAACAGCCAGCAAGAGAGAGAGCTAGGCCCAGAGGCTAATGTCATAACACTGTCCTTCTTTCACCAAACTCCAGACTGAAAAGCTCTTGAAGGCCTAAGCTATTAAAAATCACCCGAAACTCTCAACTCCTCCCATTCAACAGACAACCACATCTCCTGCGAAATGCCAGGTCGAAGCAGCCACAACCCCGAGACACGATGGGGACGGTCGGAGTGAACAGATTTGGCCACATTGGGCGCCTGGTCACCAGCTCTGCTTTTAACTATGGCAAAGTAGATAGTTGCCATTAATGACCCCTTCATTAACCTCAACTATATGATCTACACCAAGCATGTCAAACTCGCAGCCTGCGGGCCACATGCAGCCCACAACGAATATTTTCACAGCCCAGCCAATATAACAGTATGTAAGAAATGTTTTAATAAAAATTTCATAACTTCATTTTTACAATATCCTGTTATACATAATCCTATCTAATAATAGACAAACATGGTAATTGACCGTACCTTCGCTACGCCTCCCATGGGCTAATCAGCATGATATGCAAATTAACCGCCAACAAAGGTGGCATCTAATTTGCATACTGCAGGCAGGGCAGGTCAGCACCATCGCCGCCATCTGGGCCTGCTATTTGCGATCCGGGGCGGTGGGGCGGGACAGCGCCATCCCACCTGCCCTGCCGCCATCCGGGCCTGCTATCTGTGACCCAGGGCAGCGGGCGTCCGTGTGTGACCCGACCCGGGGTGGCCGGG